AAATTAGGTGGGGTAAGTGTTTTGATGGGTGTTGAATTTGTAATATAATTATTAATATTAAATTGTCACCTGATTTTTTATTAAATATACTTTATATTTGATTTTTTAAGTTTGATCTTTAAACACCTTGTTTTTTGTTATTTTCCCAAAAAACATTATAGAATTACATCTGATTTAGGTCTTCTATTGGGCTTTGGAAGATATTATTTGGAAGGATTGTCAAAAAATTTAAAATTAAAGGCAGTTTTTGGAGCATTTTTTTCCCCCTCAAAATTATGAGGACCAAGGCAATGACCTAGTTTCCCTTGGGTAAGGCAGGCCATGATCGAAACTCATAACAACATGATATCTTAAAGTGAAATTGTCTATCGTTAACTGATACGACATCTTTTGGCAATCATTCTCAAGATATAATGATCAAATCACTTGTTCAAAATAAATTATAAGTTTCACTTATAATTTAGATTGTGCGTTCTATTGTTTCACTAAATCATCCATTAAGTGCCTTTAACAATTTTAATTTACAAATAAATTATTTTAATCAAAGAAGGTGGATATATATAGTCCACAAATTCTAATAATTGTAACACGTTATCGAACATAAAAATATATAATTAAGCACGCATGCTTAGGTGTAAAGCAAATTATATTCACATACAAACAAATGATACGGAAAAATAAGCAAAGATTTATTCTTAGTCCTTTAACAATGATTGTGGGAGATCGCGAACAAACTTTTCTTTGTTAAATAAAATTATATTACAAGATTGGAATAAATATAGAAGAAGCACAAAAGAAATGTAAAGATTTGATTGACATTTTTGTCCAAAAACTTTTTGTGGAGATTTATATTACTTTACGACTTGTGTGGTTAAAGGAATTATTGAGGTATTCTTCTTTTTCGATCTTATACTTCCATCCTCAACGTATTTTATGGAAGCGAAAGGCGGGGTAAGAATTATTATTAATAATTAATATAAAAGAATTAGACTTCTCTATCTANCTCAACGTATTTTATGGAAGCGAAAGGCGGGGTAAGCATTATTATTAATAATTAATACAAAAGAATTAGACTTCTCTATCTAATAAGTTAACAAAACCACAAGCCTCAACAAGTGGTCTTAGAAATATGCCTACTTGGCCAAATAGACATGCAAGGTAAATTCCCGACTACATGCAAAAGATCTGAACGAAGGTGTGGGCACTGGTCAACCACGATGGTGGGATCTGAAGGTGGTGAAGCTTCCAAAGTAAAGATGGACAAAAGAAGTTACTGGTTGAAGGGGGTGATAATAAGCATATATAAGCGATACGATGATATTGTAAATGTGCGGAAAATTCTATATCAAGTAGACATATACAAAAGGTAATTTTGAGTTTAAAAATGCATTGAATTACTTTGCTCAATAAATTACATTTTGAAATAAAGTTTTATCTCATTATAAAATATTATATTTACGAGACATATTATATGTAGTAGTTATAATTATTTAACTTGACCTTAGTCCTTACCCTTCAAATTTGAAATGGCTGACAATTTTTTTATTTACAAGGGTAAGGTTTGATTGTTTTCATTGATATTAAAAACTACTAACACGTGCAAAAATTATTGATTATCTCCCTATAATAAAAGAAAATAATATAATATCTCTCTAATAATTGATCATCCAATGAAAAAAGAATCAATTCCCAATTGTTTGATAGCACATGAAACAACGTGCAAGTGGACATTATGATTCTCGAAATCCCAATGGCCACATCCATTTTTCAACTCATTTGCAACCAAAGTCCAAAAAGTCACATTCACTGTGACCAAAATCGTGAGTTGGACTGACAAGACATAGGGATACTAATTTCACATTGACAAATAGGGATACCTTGTCAAATATATACGCTATCCTTAATTTAAGTGCCTATTTGGTAATCTTACTTTAGAAAAAAAAAAAAAATTGAATAGTAATTTTTACGAAAATGTGAAATTGAAAAAAGTATGAAAAAAATTTAGATTTACGTATAAAATATTTTATTGTGTGAATTTGTGATTGAAATGAGTTTGTAAAAAAAAATTGAAAAATATGGATAACAAAGAGGAGCTTAATACTGAGGATTTGTTTGGCAATGGCTGATTGTGAGATTAAAAAATTATTTATAAATGTTTGAATATTTTTTCAAGAAGAATTTTATTTGGATAGAAGTGCTTTTTAAAAAAAAATTAATCTAACATAGCTTCTTAAAAAAGAAGCATGCTCTACCAAATGATCCCTAAAAAATATACTATGTGAGAATAAATGCATTATCTCTCCATCTCGCTTATGTAAAATCTTAATTTTCTTGGCTAGAATAAAAATGCATGGTCTCTCCATCTCGCTTATGTAATGTAAGGGCTTGTTTGCTGCTGATTTTCCTTCCAAAGAATTGCTTTTTGAGCCGTTAATTTCTGACCGTTAGACACAACAATCTGTCAGAAATGCTGATTTTTTGACTGTTGCCTTCTTCAACGGTCAGAAAAGCCATTCTTTTGGACATTTTAATCAGCAGCAGACAAGCTCTAAGCCTTTTGTCTTGCACTTATTTTGCCTTTACATAAATAATATGCCATGGATATCATATTAAAAAGATCGAGTTTATAATAAGACATCTAAAATTTTACGTGTTAATTATTATTTTTATATTTAACGAAGTGAAATTTTACTCATCGAAATATATTCTATAATTAATTATTAATTTTTATTTTGTTTAACCTTAGGATTTGAAATATCAAAATACAAACAAAAGTGTGGGGATAAGATAGGACAAAGAACAATGCTCCTGTAATTGGGCCTGAGACTGCACAACCAGAGTCTATAACAAACAAAAAAAGCCCTCTAATCAATTTCAATCCATAGCCACAAGCTAGTAAATCCAATCTGGATAGGCCTATTTAAACGTAATTTGTGGGCCCATCTTGGCCCTCCAGAAGGGGACATTTGATTCGAGGATAAATAAGTACTTTTCAACACTTGGCCCACGTGTGGGGCCACAGTTTCCCTAGCCCAGGTGACCATCAGAACCTCTCTACCCTACCCTACTTATGTGACCACACGTCCTGTGCCACCTCATTTATTATAGAGGTCATCTGACTTTGAGAAATATTTAATTTTAGTCGGTAAATATTTTTTATTCCAAACTCATCACTGAAGTTTCAATATAATTTCACCATAATATTCCATTGCAAAATTTAACTTCATTTTCAACACGATAGACATTTTTATGTCAATAGTTATTGAAGTTGATTTGTTGCATTAGCTAGACAATGATATAAATTTAAGATCTTAATACAAAAATTGTACTCCCTCTGTAGTCTATAGTCAGGTTTCGTTTTTCATACGAATTAAGAAATTTTATTTAATATTATTGAAAAAATTATTTTTGTCTAAAATTTTCCTAATTTGTTATTTTTTAATTATCAACAATTATTAGTAAATTGATTATAATCGGACAAATTAATAAGGGCATAATAGTAAACTAACAAAACAATACATTCACAATAAAGAAATATTACTATATAAATGGGACGGATGGATACTACTGTATTTTTGGAAAACAATGATTATGTAAATAAAAGTCACTTTTTTTCAATTTACGAGTTACAATTTCAATGTATAAATAAAAAATAAACAAGTTCCATCGATGACCATATCTTTCATGTATGAAACGTCGTCTACCAAATAATATTAATTTTTGTAACTCAAACTCGATTATTGGTGTTGAAATAAAATGAAATACAAACTTCAGTGATTTGTTAGGAAACAATTTGGTGACTGAAATGAAACTTGGATAAAAGTTGGGTGGCCTCTAATACTTTTTAACCGTCCGATCGTAGAAAGCGAAACGCCTCTGGCTCATATTTTTCTCTCTCTAAATAATGACGTTGTCATTCTTCACTGCACCGAATACATGTATTTCGCGGGGTATTTTTATAGCTCTATACATACAGGTTGTATCTATCTCTCTGTAAGACTGTTCCTTCTGTGCTGATACTTTTACTTTCTTCTCCGGCATCGAGGACAGTGCTTCATGCAATTCCAAGAAGATTTCTTGCTTTATCTGGCTCCTGTATTCTTTGCGTTGAGTGTAAGAACGTTTTTAATTTATGTCATTATTTATAATTTTTGGTTAAAGAAGATAAATGGGTTTTCAGTTTTCAGTAAGCGTGTATGTGGGTTTGCATTTTCTTGAACTATTTTGTAGTAAGTGTTGTAGAAAATTGGTAAATGTAAAAGCCTCAACACATTTCTTGAAGTTGATTTTACTCAAAGTTATTGTTCGCGTGAACCCATTTCTTTTTTCTTTTTTTTCCTTCTTTTTATCTTTTGGAGATATATTCGAGTGCTTGTGCGTTTTCTTGTTGATTGAGCTGCAATTTTTGGGATCTGTGTTTTTCGTTGTTTAGGTCTGAATCATTCGCATTACGATTTGAAATCTTGAAGAAAAATCAGTATCGTCCACACTTGCGTGTTACTGTTTTTAGCTTTGTTTTCTGACCCTTTTGAATTTTTAAAGAATGTGAGATCTGGATTTAACTTTTTGGGTTCAATGGAAAATAATTTATTCTGGGAGTCCGCATAGTAAATCCATTGTTATGAATAAATTGCTTTTTTGCAAATTGTAATCTTGAAGAGAGTTTAGTCCTGGAACCAACTGGAGGAAGAATCCGTGTATCTAAGTAACTTTTGGGGACTTGATGTTGATTATTACTTGTCTGAAATTGTTTTGGTAATCGAGAACTCTATAATTTTCTAGTCTTCTGTATTTTGAGGAGAAAGTGTATGGACTTGAATGGAAATTGTTGAATTGATTATTGTTACTTATCTCAGGAAGACAAGCAGACTTATTTGTGACTGTCTTTAGATGCCTAGTTTCATATTGAATCAACAGGACAGGTAAGTCAATGGCTGTAGGTGTGCGCCATGCTATCTGACATTAAACCAAAAACTACATGCACTTCATCTGCTAGGGAAATGAGTCGTAGTTTAGAGCAGAGACGGAGGTCAATACCACAGCAAACCTCAGATGCTGTGAAAGAGAAGATTCTACCACCCCGGGCTGATACAATTTCACAATATCGAGATATATTTGGATCAGGGCATTCATTTGGCCAACCATACCGTGGTCTGCATAGAGAATTAAGACAGCGTGGAAGCACTGAGAATGTGATCCAATTTAGGTATTCCGAGAATCAACAGACAACACAGCAGGGGATTAAGATATGTAAAGATGATGAGCTTGTTAAGCACATGTCGAATTTACCTAGCTTTCTCCAGCAGGTAGAGAAAGAAAAAAGTGTCCAAGAAAAGGCATTGAATTTTGGAGTTCTTGATTGGAAGCGATTAGAGAAATGGAAGTACAACGAACGTATGCCTGCAAAATCTGCAAAATGCCACAGGAAAACATCATCATTGAGCAATAATTCCTTGTTTATAAAAAGTGGACCACCTAAAATTAGTTCACAGCTGAGAAAACAGCTAACATCACATGGTTTACATCCTCTTTCTTCATCACAGGGAAAACAACCCTCGTCTCACAGTTCACATTTTGGTTCATCACCTTTGAGAAAACAATTCCCATCACAGAGTTCATATCTTAGTTCATCTCAGGTGGAAAGAAAGACCGGAGGTATCGGAGAGTCCACAGGAAACGGCACATTTATCAAAGATCTGCAAGCTCAAAGTAGCACTGTGGATGGGCAGCAAGGTAATTTCAATCAGAGAGCTAAGCCTTGTGGAAGGGATCATTCTGAAATAAATATGAACCGTGGCAAGAGTAACAATTCGGTGAAAAAGATAGTATTGGAAAAGGATGCTTTGGCGTTGGACCAGGGTAAAAATGGGTCCATCTCTTCACCTAAAACAATAATTGTTCAGGAAGGGAAGAGTAAGATGCGATTCAAAGATGAACTCAACCTTACTCCTCAACGTAGCACTGTGGAGGCACAAAACATTGTACTTCTAGTACCCAACCATTTCCCAAAGACGAGTTGCTCAGACACTTCGCAGCTTACAGAATCCAAGATGTTAGATAGACAATTGCCACAAGGATATTGGACCAGATTTTCTGATGGCTTTTCTCTGCAGGAGCCTCATTCAGGAAAATTTTCGTCCGACATTCCACATTCATGTCCCTTGTCTACTAGTGCTACTGTCAACGCCGAGTCTGGTATGGAACCACATAACTTGGTCAATGCTGAGGCCATGGACTCAGAATTTTGCACGAGTGCAGATCCAGATGACATAATTGTCCCACCCATAAAATGTGAAGCGAAACGTTCATTTTCAGTCGATGCTTCCAAGAGAACGGATGCCGATGCTGAACAGAAAGCTGGGAAAGGAAGACATCCATCCCCTAATCGCCGCTTCAGCTTTAGCCTTGGGAAGATGACCAGGAGCTTTAGCTTTAAGGAGAGCTCTGCGGTTTCACAGTTGAGTTCTACATATACTGCTCCGAAGTCCGGCCCAGTTGTATCTGAGCTTTTGTCTAGTATGGAGAGCTACGATAAAGTCAAAGAAGCTGCTAGTAGTCGAGGGAGGTCTAGCCCTTTAAGAAGGTTACTGGAGCCGTTGCTGAAGTATAAAGGAGCTCATTCAGCTGAGATTGTTCCTCCACCAGATAGAAACTCGCATTTCATGCTCTCTAAGCCCGTGAACCCCAATGGACCAATTCAAGACAGGAAGCATGAGGTGTCTACTTTTCAGGCTCTTCTGCAGCTTTCAGTGAAGAATGGACTCCCTTTTTTCAAACTTGCAGCTGATAATAGTAACAACGTGCTGGCTGCTACTATAAAGAAGTTGCCATCGTCTGGAAAGGGTGATTGTAGCTTGATTTATACATTCTACTCCCTTCACGAAATTAAGAAAAAGAGCATGAGCTGGATAAATCAAGGAACAAAAGGTAAAAGTTGTGGATTTGGCTATAATATCGTTGCCCAGATGAAGATTTCGAGCTCTTATCTCCCTCAATTAAATTCTAAGGACTCTAGTCAATGCGTGGTAAGAGAATGTGTCTTGTATGGTGTTGATCTCAGCCAGGTGGATAAGAAAACACCTGAGATTTTGTTTAATAGGGAGATTGCAGCAATAGTTATAAAGAACACATGTGAGAAGCTAAAGGATGAAGATTTGAGCGACAAAGGCAGACCATTCAAGTATAGAGAGTTTGCAAGGTGTGGCTCAGGAGAAGATGGGAACCCCAATAGCACAGTAGTAATTCTTCCTGTTGGAATTCATGGCTTACCAAATAAAGGTGCACCCTCGCCATTAATTAACCGATGGAAATCTGGTGGATCGTGTGACTGTGGAGGCTGGGATGTTGGTTGCAAGCTACAAATCCTCGCTAACCAGGAAAGATGCAGCAAGATTACAGGACAATGTATGCACAGCTTGGCTGCAGATCGTCTTGATCTTTTTGTTCAGGTAGCGTTTTATTGATTCAGATTTTTACTTATAGCTCTTGTCGAGATGATAGAATATAATTGTGTCCTGTGCTTATTTACAGTCTGAAGAGCGAGGGAGCAAGCCGATTTTCAGCTTGGAACCAACAAGCAATGGATTTTACTCTGTTGAATTCAATGCATCCATTTCTTTGCTAGAAGCATTTTTTGTATCTGTAGCCATCATAACTAGTCGAAAGCTATCTGAAATCTTAGACGTGAATGATCTGTCAGAAACTGCACCTTTATCAGAAGGCACGATTGGACAGGATAAGTTGAAGTCACAAACCACACTCCCAGTGCATGTAAAATATGTCACTTGTCCACCCTCCTCGCCAGTTGGAAGGATCTAGGCAGAAGCAAGGGATCCAGCTTCCGAGGCAGTTCGTGTGCAAGCTAGGAAAAATTTTGGGAGCCTCGGTTTTACTCCTGAAAAAAGGTGGGAACCTTATGCATCGATTATCAGGCTAACCATCAAGAACGAGTGGATGTAGTGTCCTTTATTCCCCAGTACCTACTCTGTAATTTGGCCTATGGAGCATAAAGCTTCAACCACGGCACCATGGTTAGCAGTGAGTTGGCCTAGTAGCTGACTTCAGCGTGTCTGTACAAATCTACATCATCATTGACATGTCTTGTTCATCGAGCCTTTCTCTAAGCCGTGCCCAGATCACAATATTAAGACATTTGTTTTGGGCGTCTTTGGCAGTAGGTCTTCCTCTCTAAAGAGCTTATTTTCCTGAGCGATAGATATTAAGTGAATTTACTTTTGAAAACAATTGTGAGGGAGAAATATTGCACAATATCTGTATTTTGTAATAATTGTTCTAGTATGTAAAGTTACATTTCATGTAGGGAATAATATGGGAATTTGAGGGATACAAAGCGAGCATTTCCCTGCTTCATAGATTGCCATGGGAAGAATATAAGAGAGCATACAAAAATGATTTCTTTCCTTTTGTTTGAAAGATAAGAGTATTGCCAGCACGATTAAAGGAAATATAGCAAACCTCCACAAGCACTAAAAACTAAGTTTTGCCACATGGTATATATTAAAGTGTAAGTCAGGAGGGATTCAAATCTTATACGCTAGTTCACAAATCAACATATGATGCGTGATGAATCGACATGAACCATTGACCATCAATCCTCTCAAACACGTTTGTAGCAAATTGTCTTCCCCAGCTACTGCCCTTAGTCTTCACCATTTCAATGCATGTCACATAGCCTACGTCCCCTCTAACATGAACCTGAACGTCCCTAATCTCAATTTCTAGTGGGAAGTCATAGTCGGCCCATACAAATTCCCAGCTCCCCATTACAAGATCATGACCCGATATGCCACTCACACCAGGGTGCACAACGCAGACATGATCACCCTTGGACCACAGAGCCTGCATAGAAGCTAAATCCCCATTTCTGAATGAATTATAAAATCTAGCATTTGCTGCTAATACTGAAGCCTTGCTGTCCTCCTGGAGAAGCTTAAGGCTATCCCTGATTTTTGCGGCCTGGGAATAATTCTCTTCTTCAATAGCAATCTGTAATTCACGCTCTAAAGTCTGCTCGTTTAGTAAGATGCTTTCACCACTTGGGGTTCCACCGTAGTCCTCACTTCGAACTCGACATGAACTTGACAGACATGATCGGGAGGCTTTCCTCATGGGTACTGCTCTGAACAAATACAAAATTAGGACATATAGCAGCTAAAAGCAAAACTAGAATGAAACGCAATAATACATTATACATAGGGACATGGCATAAGACAACGAGCTACGTGTTTCAACTTTCATCAAGATTCTAAGTACAATAGACACAGACAAACATATTTTTTTCCAAGACAACTAGAAATTAATAGATCAACTTAGATAACAAACGAGAGAGGCCACAATATCTCAATGCTTATTTACTGAAGTTGTTATGACAGAAAATAAATAACTGAGGAATGTAAATGGAGATCAACTCCAAATTTCAATTACCAATGCGAAATCTATAGCTGTTCTCATTTCAGCATAGCACCAATGAGAAAGAAATAGAAGCGATCGACGAGAATTCGAGACAAAAGGCATCTACATAAAGAGAAAATACTTCATCCTTGAAATGTTTTCTTTTATTTGCATGCAAACATCTTCCCGTTCCCTGTTGGCGTTAGGATATTAAACTATATCAGCCTTCAAAATCAGAACATATATTACAAAACATAGGGGAGAGCCAGGTGATTCAGGATTCTTTATCATTGCACTTCTATTTTCCCCACCAACATTTGACATAATCATTTCATGGCTTCCCAACCAGCAAGACATTTAAAAAGCAGGCTACTGTATATGTACTGTAGACTAACAAACTCAGCAACAAGCTTTTTGTTTGTGCGCAGTTAAGCAACATTCATAACTGGTGCATGGGACTTTAATTTCAAACAAACAAACAACTTACTGACCATTATATGTTGCAAAGTGGTGATCATGGCAACCTCGAAAAAAGCTAGCTCCTACTCCAAAACTGCCAGCAGCAGCTAAATAGCATAGCTTCTGCAGATTGGAACGAAGGATTCCAGTGCTATTGATGCAGATGTGAGATAAACACTTGCGATCTCTACTATCAAACTTTCCCTGAAAATAAAAAGCTTTAAGAATATGACACTATTAGAAAAAACCTCTTATAGACTACCAGCAACATAGAGCATCTACCAGAAACTCTTTATATTTATAAAAGATCATCTTATGCATTATGGAGAGTATCTTTAAATTTAAATTGTCAAAATTTTTATACGCTTCAACAATGCTTTCTATTTTGACTCTTTATTTTTCTTTTCTAAAGAAACATATATTGATTTCTCCTCATACTTTAATTTGGCAAAAAAATTTATGTCACTGGTTTTAAATAGTTTAAGAAGCTGATTATTGAAACCCGTGAATTATTAAATGCAATTATTGTACATTAAGAATAGAGAGTAAGTCTATTTTAAAAAGTTAGAGCGTCTCCAAGATACTCTCATTTAAAAAGAGCATCTTATGAATAATAGAGAGTATCTTTAAATTTAGAGAGTAACTTTTTTATGCACTTCTACAAGCTCATTAACCTTTTTTTTTTTTTTCAATTAACATTTATTGATTTCTGCTCATCTCTTTTTAAGATAATAATTTTACATGTTAATGGCAATCAATTCAAATGTGAGTTGAATAATTTGAATGGTAGTGTATTGAAATTTGTAATTTATTAAATGCAATTACTGTTGATTAAGAATAAAGAGTTGAGTTTTGAAGAGTCAAATACACTCTTTATTTTTAAAAGTAATAGAGAGTCTTTTGAAACTTTTTTTTTAGAAAGTATTTCGTGTTTAGAAAATCTCTTAAAGATGCTCTTAAAATAGAGTCTTTGGAGCTTATTTTTAAGCATTAGCTCTACAAAACAAAAGAGTATTATGCATTTAGAGATCCTCTTGTAAATGATCTTGCTTTTTTTTTTTTTTAATTCATTTTTTACCAAACTTCAACTATACCCAGGTGGGGGTTCCATTTATAAGGTTTCCTTTCCCTTACTCTTCTTCTTCTCCTTTCTTTCTTTCATTGTCATTATTAAAACAGCAAATTTTAATTGTCAACATGCTAATTGCAATTATAGCCACTATATGCTTTTAACCTCCCGCCCACACCAAAAAATAAATAAATAACAATAATAATCAATGATAAAGTGAGTAATATAAAATTACAGACATTTTTTTTTTTTTTGATAGATAAAAGTAATATAAAATTACAGACATTTAATCACATATATCACAAAAAAAAAAAAAAAAGCTTCTGTTGGTATTTAATCACATATAATTACAGAATCAAGAAATTCATAGACAGCTCAAACATAAGGGTGCTTTCGGCAGCAAAAAACCAGGGCTTCAGAATTGCAATAAGGAATATGATTCCATCAAATTCAAATAGAATTATTTTCGAATCCCAATTCGAAGTGGCTGCCAACATAACCTCAAATAAAATTAAAACGAAAATTTGAAACAAAAAAAAAATACTTTAAAATCGAAAACTGAAATGAAGAACCTCTGCTTACATTTTTAAAGAAAATAGATCGATTCAGCCGAGGATTGATCGAGAGCGCATAAAAATTCGATGCCTCCATTGTTTGCTACACGGTAAAAATCATCAGGTGCAATTATTAATGGATGATTGGAATTGAAAAATACGAAAACAGAAGAATAATTACTGATAAAAAGAATTTGGGGCTGAAATTTTTACATGATTTGATTTGGTACAGCCGATTGTCTGCAGCAGCTCGATATGGACAATATTTGGACTTATCCAAGTGATAAAACTGTGAAAATTTGAGTGAAAAAATGATGGTAGGCTTTGGGCCGTATTGCTCATTGGGCTAGACCGCCTAAACAATGTTGGGAAATAATAAAAAATCGGGGGTTTAAAGTTTACTTTTTAAAAATCAGGTGCAAAGTTTGTTTA